TACAAAACATGTAAAAAAATGTTACATTAGTTGGAGATTTCATGTTTTTAATACCTTCATTTTAAAACTTATTAAAATGAACTTCCCACATTCAAAATCAGTTCTGGTATTTAATTTCCTTTAACGACCTCCGTAGCCGAGTGGTTCGCACGCCGGTTTCAAGGTGTCGCCATCTCTGAGGTCCCGAGTTCGATTCCCGGTCGGGTCAATGTAGAAATTGAACTTTTCTATATTGACTCGGGTCTGGATGTTGTGGTACCTTCGTTGTCGTTATAATACGGGGGCTTTAGCCACTCATCTTGGAATCTGAGCAATGTATGTGATGTTGTTAAATATTAAATATTATTTTTCCATGATTTTATAAGTTAGTTTTAGTCTTATTGGTAAGTAATTATTTTTTGGATTTTGATGAAACATATTTTATATTTAATATTAAGGTTTACAAAATACAAACAGTTTTACACTTAATGAAACACTCATGATTTTGGTTCTTAAGATTATACCACGAAGATCTTTTGACTTTAACTCAAAAAAGTAGTTACAAAGAGAACACGCACACATTTGTATGTATAAAGTTTTTATACATTGTTTTTACTGTTAATTTACAGTGACAGTCAGTCATTGTAACTGTAAAACTAACTAAAATGCTAACGATGAATATTATAGCTTCGTCTTGCTCAGTTTTCATCAATAGCCGTAGGGAGCCCACTGCTGAGCATAGGCCTCACCCATAGGTCCCACGCCGGTCGCCGCTAGTTTATTTATGATCGTCGGTCCACCTGGTGGTGGGCCTGCCCATTGAGCTTGCTGAATTCAATTCGTCGTCGTCGTCATCGTCGTTGCCGTAACGTCAATTTTAGTAGGCATAAAATTGATTAGGTTTTCAGATTTACAGTTTCAATAAAGCCAATAAATAACATATACGACACAAATGTGACGACACAAAGAATTGGACAATGGTTGCTAAATTTAGATTTTATTTATTTATAATTTTAAAAACTTTATGCACAATTGTACAATGGTGGATACTTTGAGTATTCCCTGAAAAAGAAAATAGAAAACATTACTTAAAGAAAGTTCATAAATTATGATATCTGGATGTGTTAGTTGCATTATAATGTTACTCTTACACCGGTTTTCTGTAACTTTGAACAAGGCATATCTTAAATAGGAAACGCCTAATCTCACGCATCGCCTAAGCAAATTAGTTTGATTCCAAATAAATATTTGCTTTTTTTATCCCTTGACACATTTGTGACTTGTCATATTAGGCATATGCCTCGTGGAAGGCGCAGCATAACGCATACCATTACTTTAGACATTGCTTAAAGTCGTTTGATGACTTCTAATGATTGGTGAAATGCAATATCACTTTAGGCAAATCCTAAATATTTAGGCTACAGATCTAGGCGCTTTCAAAGTTAATTGAAAATTGGCATAAATAACACATTCACGCAACTTATAATAATATAACTTGTTTCTTTTAATTTGAGTTGGATTTAGAACAGTCGTGTTTTTAAATTTTATATCATTATTAATTGAGAACTATGTGAATAATGTTACTGATGAGGAAAGTTTTCTGATTACTGTATTATTTTAGTTTCCCTTTTATTTAAACCAAAATATTAAACTAGGTACTAGTAAGTACACATTATAAATATCATTAGCAATGTTTACTCACTGAACCCTAAAAGTTCTGCGAGTTTAGTTTATATTATAGTTTATAGATACACTGCACTATTAACACTGTCGTTGTATCATCCAAACTGTATATTTAATAAGTTATTCAAATGAGAGTGTTTTCTGTGAAATAACGTTTCCTTGTTATTGGTGGTGTATCGATTGCAAGATAATTAACAGGTAATTGTTTAAAATTAATAATGCACTGAGAACGACCAACATAATTTTATAAATTGAAGAATAAAGTTGACCTGTAGTTTATGTTTGTTAACGTTAAAATAATCGTAATTTATTTGCTTAAAACACAATGTACAAGTGTTATAACATTTATAATGTTCATATGTACCACGTCATAATTAAATTCCTTTTTTTATTTACTTATTTTGGCATCAAACAGTCGTATTATGTTTACAGTGATAAAATTATAAACAATATGTCAAATTATAATTAGATAATGACCATCTTTAAAGTACACCTAAACGAAACGCGATCAAATATAAAAAAAATTATTTATGCTAAAATAATTTTAAGGAATTTAAAGGCCTATTAAATATTATAATTCAGTTTACTGGTTGTCATTATTAAATTTTTAAAATACATATTTTGTAGTAATATCGTAATTTATTAGGTCCCTTATGAAATAAAAATAATCCAGCCGTAGATTTGCGACCGATGGCGTAGTTTTCGACATTCATAAGTGCTTGTAACAGCCAAGACTCAATAAAAGTAAAAAAGTATATATCTCGTCTTGGAGAGCATCAGTAACAGCACTAATAAAAATGTAGCTATTTAGGTACCTGGTCATCTAATTAATGCAAAAGGCAAAGCGGTAGCTATAAGAACGTTTTACTTTATAGATTACTGTTTGTTTTCCTGTGACTTCGCTTCCTTAAATTACAATAAATGTCATCCGTGTATTTTTTTCCGTACTTGAAAGAATGTTTAAAATAGGCCCAGTTGTTTTGAAACCACATCATTGGCCTTGTTATGTCTGCATGTACCCCTGCAGGGGTCAAGCCTTCTTTAAGGATGGGTCATGACCCTCCACGACGCCTGGTACTAATAATGCAGACGGTACTAACGGCTTCCGAAGCACGGATTAGCTCGAGATAATATTTTTTTGGTCATCTATCCCGTGACCGACTCTTGCGAAAGTTGCTTAACAAGAACGATCGTGGGCTGCACCTCTTATCCACTACACCACTGAGCTACTCGATTGGAGCCTTTTCAATATAAACAAACGAACAAACAAACTTCTCCTATTTATAATGCCAGCTAGTATCAAAGACGTAAAATTTTACTAAATGATGATTAATTATATTAAATAAAATTTTCCAGAATCACCAGGTGTTAAAGATTATGGTTGAAAATGAATTTCCTTAATCGTAAGTATTTTTTTAAAATAATATAAAAACAATGAATCTTTAAAAAAGACAGTAACTAATCGACTGAACATTCAAAGCACACTTAAAAGTATTAACTATATATGAACTGATCGAAGTGAAACTTGGTACACTTATAATTTTGCCGTAGTGGTCTACTAGAAAATTCAATCCATATGGGGGTCATATGGATTGAAAACCTATGCGGGTGAATAACCAATCCGTGTAAACCAGCCATAAGATATGGTTTCCACTTGTTGAGTACCGGATCTGTATATTAATCGCAGGTACCAGTAGCGAAGTATTTTATATGAAACTATTCGTACTTATCGGAAGCCGATTTTGTGTCGGCGCCGTCAGTAAATGTCGTGTGTTTTGACAGTCTTCTACGCTCGGAAAAAAATCATGTGGGATCTCGCTCGCCTTATGGCTAATGCTGTTCAAATTAGCAAAGTATCCGGCCTGCTACCCTCCGAAACGTTCATCGTTATAACGTAAATCGTTCCCTCAGGGTTGGGTGCACCCAATATTTTCTCTCCTTCGCTCTCTTTCTTTATTTTCTTCTTGAAGAACTTTGTCGACGCCTGTCGTGCACAGTTGCCTTGCGTAGAGTATTTAAAAAACCAGCTTCCGCCGTGGCCGATTTATTAACCGGCTTGAACGAAAGCACCTAAATCCTATTATTTTGGGATCTGACACCTTACAAGTGGGAACCAGCGAGTTTTTCTAAGATCAAACGCCGATGTTTTGCGAACCGATAGTCTACATTTTGACTTATAAAAAGTGCTTGTAACTGCCTAGACTGAATAATGATATTAAATATAAATTTAATTGAAAATATATTGCAGAACGTAATTTTAAATTATAAAAACATTGTATGAAACATTTATCTTTTGTTTCACAAAGTCTTAATTAAACTGTTAATATAAAAAATAGTTTTTTTTTAATAATATATGAATCATTGTTATCACCCTATTAATGTCCCCACTACTAGGGAACAGTCCTTGTTAGTGGGTCAAATCACATCGTACGCCATAATTCATGTGGTCCTAGAGCAGGATGGTGGGTGTCAACGAGTAGATTAGTAGATGAAGCCTGGACCAACAGCTTAAAAGTCTTGAACCAGGTGCTTTTATAAGTATTTCTTCCTAAGCAATTGCCACTAACAATTATTGACATTTTTTACCAGTTATATATAAGTTATCATGAAGTTGAGTGAATTCAGATAAGATTCGTTATACTTGATAATAATTGTATCTATTTTTTCGTTTCCAGGCTTATGGATTTGTCTGTTATTGGTAAAGGGCTGTCTTTGCTTATCTCCGCCAGTGAATACCGGCTGTACAAGCGTATTAAACAGAGAGGAATGTGTATACGAGCTATATTGTTTGAATGAAATAGAAGACCGAATTAATAATTATTATTTTTCTGATAACATTTATGACGATGACAGTGATTGTACAAATGTGTATTCTTATGATGATTACGGAAATAGACGGTTATTCAATCGGGTGTCAATGACATTCAAAGGTAAAGAAGATAAAGAAAATTTCATTTTTCCTCACTCCGTTGATCCAACAAATGCTAGAAACTGTAAGATTTGTAAGTTGATATATAAACTAGATTTAAGTGGCAATGGCTTTAAGACATCACCAACTTTCACACAAATGATAAATTTGGCTTATCTAGACTTATCAAAAAATTATTTGACGGTTGCAAGGCTTTCAAACAGTTTTGAATTAATAAACTTGGCACACTTAGATTTGTCTTATAATACCATAAATACTATAGAAGTTGATCAATGGAGCTATAATAAACTACAAACACTTAATTTGTCAAATAATTATCTTGTTACAATACCTGATGTTATTTTTGATGGCTTTTCTCAAATGAAAACTTTAGATTTGTCACACAACTTTATAGATTTTTTGAATGCAGGTTCATTTGAAGGACTTAAAAACCTCTCGACGTTGCTTATATGTCATAACAGACTATCAGAAATCAATGGATCATTTTTCAGATTTATTAAACTTATCTTTTTAGACTTGAGTAGCAATAGACTGAAACATATAAAAGCCAGTGATTTTGATAAACTCCAGGAACTAACTCATTTGAACTTAAGTGATAACACTATATTATCAATTGAAAACACCGTATTTAATAATATGCCTTCCTTGCAATTACTAAAACTTAATAATAACAGCTTTCAGGAGCTTGGTAAAATAAATTTTGCTAATGCCATAAATTTAAAGTACGTTGATATTTCTAAAAATCATTTACGGAAATTGCCAAATGGTTTGTTTAAAGGAAATGATATATCGTTTTTTGATGTAGAAGGAAATAATTTGGAAGGTTCACTTTCAAAAGGGACATTTGAAGGATTGAAAAGAGTCCCTAAGTTAGATCTTAGTAATCAACAGCTTACTAGTATAGAAGATTATGCATTTGTTGGTCTTGATGTAATTACTGATTTAAAACTGAATAAAAATAAATTGCAAACATTGTCAATTAACAGTTTCAAAAAGTTGACAAGTTTGATTATGTTAGATTTATCAGATAACATTATTTTTGACTTAAGTTTCGATTCAACAGACTTGATCAACCTCCGTGTATTATCATTAACAAACAATTTCATTACTAATATACAACATGAATATTTTAAAGGATTATCTTCACTACATTTTCTGCATTTGTCGAATAATAATGTCACCAATTTGAATTCAATTTCTTTTAACTCTCTTCGTGAATTGATACAATTTGATATATCTGGCAATCCTTTGAATGGTACATTAGAAACTGGCACATTTAATGGTCTAGTTGCTCTTCCAATATTAGATATATCTTGTACTCAGCTGAGTGTCGTTAAGAATGGTTCATTTATAGGGATGGCAGAGTTGAAGTTACTTAATATTTCTCACAGCAAAATTGTTGAATTGCAATACAACTCTTTTACTCTTTTAAGGACAGTAGAAACTATTGATCTGTCGTTTAATCAAATAAAAACATTTGAAATAAACGGGACAGATTTAGTTACTCTTCAGAAATTGTTGCTCAGCCATAATCTTTTGAAATTTATCACAAGTGACGTATTTGTTGGATGTCCAAGTTTAACAAAAATTGATTTATCTCATAATAACATCATAAGCATACAGGAAGATGCATTCAAAAATCAAAATGACTTGAACCATTTAGACGTTTCATTCAATTCAGAGGCAGTTTTTAATGTTTCTATTTTTTATCACAATAAAAATATATATTACTTAAATTTAGCGGGTCTTAAACGTGAAATTAAGTTTTCGTCGATTAATGAAAATCGTTTATTTGACTTAGATATGTCATATGCAGATGTAACGAATTTAACAGCCTTGGATTTAAAAAGATTGACAGATTTACGTATACTTATTTTAACCCATAATGCCATTGAGAAAGTAGAATTTGGTTCATTTAATAATATGACCGCTTTGGCAACTTTAGATTTAAGTTTCAATAAGATCACGTTTATCCAGCCCGGAGTATTCACAGATAACGTATATATACATACTCTCAATGTTTCTCATAATTCGCTTTCAGCTGTTGCATATGGGGTTTTCAAAGGTTTACTCTATTTAGATACATTAGATATGTCATATAATAATATAAAAAGTCTAGAAAGTGAGCGATTTTTTGATGTACAGTCCTTGCATACACTTATAGTAGACTATAATAATATAGATTTTATAAGCACCTATGAATTTTCTCCAGTAAATTTAAGGGAGTTAAGTATTGGTGGCAATCCTATTTCTTGTAAAATTTTAGCAAATTTTATGGAAAATAGTGTGCCGTATAAAATTACTGCAATAAATGCACACGAGTCTTTAAAAGAAAACATAAAAGGTATTGCATGTAATAATAAAGTGCAATTAAAGCCAAAACAAAATGAAAGCACTTTGAATGAAACTAATGAAGTATTGACTGATATTAGAGATTTTCTAAATATGATAGTAAGCAAGAATACTTCGACCGAAGAAGTTGCAAATGGAAATATAACTTCTCATTTTATTACTAATATTACAAAAGAATTTGAAAAGTTAGCACATAGTTTTGATAGTAAATTGTTGACATTTATTAATCAAAGCTCAATAATTATGAAAGAAATAGCCAAAGAAAATGCAAACATTACAAATGAAATAATGCAAGAAAACACAAATGGCACTAATACATTGTTAGAAAAAATATTGAAGTCTATTAATCGAATGAATTTATTAACGACACCTATATCTGTAACAAAAGACAGAAATAATAAATCTGATGATTTCATCGAGTATATTAATAATGTTAGAAATGAAATGGCGGATATTATTGTAGCTGAAAAGAAAAATATATTAGATGAAGTTGAAAATAAATTAAGAGTTATGATGTCTAAAAATTTAACAGATACCACGACAACCCTCACGCCCAAAGCAGTTCACGAAAAACTGATTAGTAGCAATAATGTTACTGCAAGTCGACCTACACTATTCACCGATATTTGTGTTATGTTAATTCTTTTGATATTAGTCTGTTTGATTTTATATAAATTTTATAAATCAAGAATGTTTGTTCGTGCAAGACGATCGTATAGTACAAGAGAATTGCCTAATAATATGGAAAGCCCAGATCTGTGATATGACTATTTCGTTATTCGTCGATTTCAAGAGTCTAAACAAATACATATTTATTTCGATATAAGCGTATCTAAATAATAATTAAGGTGTTATTAAATATTTCTAAGTTTAGACATTATAATCTAGCATTAGATTTGTAAGTTATTATATGTTTGATAAATATTACAAAAAAAAACAATTATTTTATCGGTGTTATAAAGTTATTCCCCCTAATATTAATAGGTATTGGTAATATAATAAAGTTAGAGCCCGTTAAATTAATAAATATATGGCTAAGAAAACCACAATTAAGTTTAAAAATCAGCAAAAAAGTAAAAGACTTATATTGCAGTATATAAAGCCTACTGATGAAAATTGAAATCAAACATAACATCTTGTGTTTGCTCTTTAAAAGGTTCTGTATCATATAAGGAAACTAGAAAGTACTTGGACCACTTATTTTTCCGCCTGTCTGCCAAGAGCTCTTTTCTCTGAAACACGTGGAGATGGATCAAAAGGATGAATGCGATATACTTAATACTAAAATTCCTTAGAGCATTAAAACACTAGATAAGAAAAATAAAAAGTGGTCTCAGTATGGTTCCCGGCTGCACATCTCAATGAACTGCGCACGGCTTAGTGAAGCTTAGTCATGTTGAAATATATTGAAATATATAAACGAATTAAATTCATTAAGTGTTGGGAAAGTCGTGATTTTTACGTTGCCGTATTGCAATAGTTTGTCCAATGAAGAAAATAATTTGCGATACAAATTGAATATGACATTGCACACTATATGCAATACTGCAAAGTTTCATGTCATTGACACTAACAAGTATGTTAGAAAATTTTATTTGACTAAAGATAAATATTATCTTTCCAATTATTATAAGAGACAAATAGCTATTTCGCTATCATATTTTTTTTCTATAACAGCCAAAAAATTGGCTAACCAAAGTGCTCCTATTGAGCACTCTTCTATTGACATGACTGTCAGTAATAATCCTACTGACATTGCGACAAATTCGTCTTTAAATTAGATACTAAGACAACAGAGGATTCCTCTTGCTTGCTATTGAATGGTCAAAGTAATAATGGAACCAAGAGTTTTTCAGTCATCAACCTAGTGCACAAAAATGTTCAAGGAATGTTGAGTAAAGAGTTAGAAGTGGAATTATTCATGAACTGAAACAATGTTGATTTTTTCTGTATTACGGAACATTGGTTAACAAGTTATAATTGCATTTTTAACTTCAATAATCACCTGGTTGGTAGCGCGTTCATTAGGAAAAACGCAATGCGTGGTGGCGCACTAATTTTATTAAATAAAAAGTTTAAATTTAAAGAACGTAGAGATATAGTGAGCCTATCGGTTGAGGAAATAATAGAGATTGCCTGTATAGAGCTGGACCAGCTGATTGTACTGAGCGTATATAGACCTCCTTCAAGTTTAGTTTCTCATTATGATCTTTTTGAAACTGTTATGGATGAAGCATTAAAAAAGGTATATAGCAAAGTCAAACGATTAGTGATTGGGGGTGATTTTAACGTTGATTTATTAGGAAACTCCAATTCATGTACAAGACTTGTAAATCTATTTATGTCCTATAATCTTGCGCACATGTTTAAGGAGCCTACTAGAGTAACTGCTACTTCGTCCACATGTATTGACAACATTTTTACAGATCTAGTACCACTTTCAAAACAGATAATTAAACAACTACCGTCAGATCATTTTGGAAAACTAGTTAGCTTTCCGCATAAATGTACGTTTGTGGCTAGGAGAGACATTAAGGTTGTGTCAAAAAGTATGAGTCGCTTGGAACGTTTTAAAAATCAATTAGATAGTAAATTGTATCATTTGAAACATAATAGTAATCCCAATGATTTGTACAAAGATTTCTTTGATGTTTATTGTACAGAATTCAATAAGATTTTTGTCCCAAAAAAAATAAGTATTAGTAATCCTATAACTTTTAGTGTGTGGGCTACACCAGGAATCTACAAAAGCAGAAAAAGGCTCTATGAACTATATGATGAACGTAATTATAACACAAGGGAGGAATGACATGGTTTTTGTAAATGTCATTACTCATATTAGAGCTGGTGAGTTTCTTGCTCGTTCTTCTTATCAGCCAAAAGACGTCCTGAACGAGTGGTAGGGAAAAAATGTTGGACGATTCAAAAGTACTTTTAAGAAGTCTATTTGAATAAAGATTATTTTGACTTTGACTTTGACTTTGACTAATCGGGGTTCCATATGCGATTGCTTAAAAAGTTTAGGCATAATAATATAGTATAACATCATCATCATCATCATTATCACCAGCCCTTTTACGTCCCCACTGCAGGGGCTCAGGCCTTCCTTATGGATGGTTAAGGAGGATGGGCCAAGACCCTCCACGCTGGCCCAATGCGGAATGGAGGGTATTAACGACTGCAAATGTAGCCGGGGCCAACGGCTTAACGTGCCTTCCGAAGCACGGAGTAGCTCGAGATAATAATTATTTGGTCACCCATCCCGTGACCGACCCTTGCGAAAGTTGCTTAACGACTACGATCGCGAGCCGCGGCGCTTATCCACTATGCCACCGAACTACCCTAGTATAATATACTTTTGCACTAATTAATTTATTACGCTATCAAGTATTACATTTAAGCTATTTACTCATAACAGCCTATGCCGGAAGCCGTTGGTTCCAGGAGCATCTGAAATCGTTTATACTCACCAATTCGCGTTGGACTTGCGAGGTGGATCATGGTCTATTCTCTCTTTTCGATTCGGAAGATATGTGCCCAGACTCAGCAGTGGGAATATTAATATACTGATGACAATGAAAATGAAATACATCGGAGAAAAAGAAGAAAATTGTGTCATACGAGAGGATCATAGTATGTGACGTCTCCAGCACAACTGACGAGTTTTAGCCGCTGCGAAATCGGACGTCTACTCAACGAAAAGGTCGTATTCGAAATTTTTAAATTTAAAAACTTAAAATATATTTACTTTGATTTATTTTTCAAAATTACGAAATATTACTAGATAGATGCTGTCCCTTTCATCAAAGAGAATTTAAATACTACGTTCTAACATTCACTAAAAAGATTACCAATCATAATCCAAATCGGACGTGAACGCTGAACTCCTATTTAAATTTTAACCAGCCTAATAATCAGCCATAGATTCGTTGGAGAGCAGATTATAGTGACGTGCTCGGACATAAATCCACCCGTGATTTCCATCCTGTATCCAGATATTAATGACCGATTTTATTGTAAACATAAACATAATTCAAAAAATCTTAATAATGAAAAACAACTGAAAAGTGATAACTAAACCACAAATTTGTTATTTTAAAAATAATCGAAATACAAAAATTCTAAATAATTTCTTTTTTTAACGTCAATCAAAAAACACTATTTCAAAAGCAGTATAACGTGGATTTCGCAGGGCATCATTTAGTCTTAATTCTGCACTGTATTTACACCAACTTTTCTTCCTGGTAGTAGACTTATGATAACAATATTGAGTACGTATAATAATTTATAAACACGTTTTGTTGTTATTTCCTTGGAAACTTTCTATTATAAATTTTAATTAAAAGTAAGCAGACGGTGTTGCCCATTTAGAAAATTTTCAGTACAAAATTATTCAAGAAAACTTAATGATTCTTAAATTGAGTTCAAACTTTAAAGATATTGTTTAAAAAGATTTAGAATTTGATTAAACCATTCATACGGCTGAATAAAAAAATCTTCATTATATTATTTCTTTTTATCTTTTACGACATCTTACGTACCCACTGCAGGGGTTCAGGCCATGACCCTGGCCCAATGTGGATTGGAGGGAGGGACAAAAAATCTATATGTGTACGAGCAAGCGCGTGCATTATCTTGTCAGCAGTTACACTGCTTGACCCAAATTAGTTCAGCTGTCTTTATAATTACTTAAATATGATAAAGTCAGTTCGTAATCAGCCATCAAGAGCGCTTCGCATAATCATACAATTGTTACGTTACGTTAGTTAGTGTTAATAGTTGTTCCCAAATATACATACAGTTTCTATTCAATCATGTATTATTTTTTATCACATAATTTTGGTATACCCCGAACAATATGTGAGTAAGAATTTAAACTTGCTCGGAAAAAGAATAAAATGTTCTTGAAGAAACAACAATTTGATTGTTTGTAATGAAAGACTCCGAAACTACGTAGAATACGCGAGTGACATAGTCTACAATACGGGCAAAGTCGCGGGACAATAACTAATGGACAGATAAATATAATTTAAAGAAGTTGTTCAAATCTGCCAAATTTCTTTACTTGATTTTCTACCTTAATACATAGAGGGCAGATTTGAAAATCAATTTTATGATATGACGTTCTGTTATTGATTATTAGAGACCGAAGTTATATGACACGCGAGTAACGTAGGCTATAATTTATGCATGCAAAGTTGCTTGTTAAGGAATATTAGTGAGTAGACTTTGACTCTTTCTTATATATGATACGCTGTATCCTAACTTTCAGCTTTGTCGATTGCTCTCTTCTTGACGAATTCATTCAAATTAAAAATCGTAATATATTTAAGCGTGAGCTAATGAAACCAACGATTTATATTGCAACAAAAATACCTTCGACCTAATGGAAGTTTGAGTGCTTTTATAATCCAACTAAGAAACTACTAGAAGTGAATTTTATTAAATTTTGAATTTAAAACTTTAGCGTTTTATTAAACCCTTTATTCAAGTTTGTATACGGTTATGGTTTTAATATTTTCTTTTGCACTTTGTTCCATTATGTGTAATGGTAACTATTGTAATTCTACCTTACTTACGAATGCTCTTCAAATAATAACAATAAGTATTATGATACGTGAAATGCTATTATTACATATTTATGAATAAAATACCACACACACCCACACCAGCACTATAACTATATAAAATAATATTGACTGACTAAGCTTGAGAACTTGATTTATTAAAGGGTAACAAAAAATCCCCGTTTCTGGGTTTTCCGTAATAGGTAGAACTTAGTAGATATTTCACGAAGATATACGTTTACATGTTTCTTATTAAAATAATAGTAATTTATATTGATTAAATATGATAAAATGATTTAATTATCATGTTCTCGCCGAATGAATTTTTTACGAACTGACATTCATATAAAGAGCATATTGGATTACTCAAAATTTCAAATGACGAAAAGTGAATAATAAAAATAAATGTTGTTGAAGATCAAAGACAAAAAATTTACATGCGGAAACCTAGGACTAAATAAACGGTCGTACGGCGCACCGTTACAGAACAGGCGCCCGGATTGCAAAAGGTCATGGATTCGAATCCCATCTCAGAGTGCCTGGAACAAAGTGGGTTTTTAAGCATTTTTCGTTAATAATA